ATTTCAGAAAGCAACGTCAGGCACGAAATGGGCTTCAAATGTTCCCCGGCGCCCTGGCAGCAGCTTCTGTTGCCTTGGCAGCAGCATGTTGGGCGCCTTGCCAGGCTGTCCCTGGGGTCAGTGGCAGGGGGCGGAGCCCTTACAATCCGGGCGCCGGCCACGGCCCCGTGTCCCCCAAGATGGGCCAACATGGCCCCAAGATGGGCCAACGTGGCCCCAAGATGGGCCAACATAGCCCTAAGATGGGCCAACATAGCCCCAAGATGGGCCAACATAGCCCCAAGATGGGCCAACATACTTCCAAGAAGAAGAAGAAGCCGCAGAAGAAGAAGAAGAAGAGGAAGAAGAAGAAGAAGACGAAGCAGCAGAAAAAGAAAAAGAAGCCGAAGAAGAAGAAGCAGAAGCAGAAGAAGAAGACAGAGAAGCAGAAGCAGAAGAAGCAGAAGAAGAAAAAGAGCCCGGAGAAGAAGAAGAAGAAGACGAAGAAGAAGAAGAAGACGACGAAGAAGAAGAAGCAGAAGAAGAAGAAGAAGACGACGCAGACGAAGACGACGAAGAAGCAGAAGAAGAAGAAGAAGACGAAGAAGAAGAAGCAGAAGAAGAAGAAGACGGAGAAGAAGAAGCAGAAGAAGCAGAAGAAGAAGAAGCCGGAGAAGAAGAAGAAGAAGAAGAAGAAGACGAAGAAGAAGAAGACGAAGAAGAAGAAGACGAAGAAGAAGAAGATGAAAAAGAAGAAGAAGGAGAAGAAGAAGAAGACGACGCAGACGAAGAAGACGAAGAAGCAGAAGAAGAAGAAGAAGAAAAGGACGACGAAGAAGAAGAAGCAGAAGAAGAAGAAGACGGAGATGAAGAAGCGGAAGAAGCAGAAGAAGAAGAAGACGAAGAAGAAGAAGACGAAGAAGAAGACGAAGAAGAACAAGATGAAAAAGAAGAAGAAGCAGAAGAAGAAGAAGCAGAAGAAGAAGAAGAAGACGACGAGGAAGCAGAAGAAGAAGAAGAAGACGACGAAAAAGAAGAAGGAGACGAGGAAGAGGAAGAAGAAGAAGAAGAAGACGAAGAAGAAGAAGAAGACGAAGAAGATGAAAAAGAAGAAGAAGACGAGGAAGAGGAAGCAGACGACGAAGAAGAAGAAGAAGAAGACGCAGACGAAGAAGACGAAGAAGCAGAAGACGAAGACGAAGCAGAAGAAGAAGAAGACGCCGCAGAAGAAGAAGAGGCTGAACGACAACGGCAACTAGAACAAGAACCCGAGTCAGACAACGACCCCGAACATAAACAAGAATAAGCCGAAAAAAAACTCTATCCACAGTGACCTCTGTCGGTCTGTGCTTGTGCGACGGCTCTCCCGACTTTCAGCTTGCGGTTGCAAGCTCGGACAGTCAGCCCCCTCCGCGTTCAGAGGATGCTGCCGGGATGTCCTAGGTCCCGGCCCCCGTCTTGCACAGGGAGGGGTGTGTCGGGCCCCCACCGACTGAGCTCGTTGTCGTTGTACACCTGGCGGCGGGCGAGGTGGCACGTGGTTGCCTACACGGGCTTGGTTCATTTGTACTTTGCAGTGATGAAGCCGTCATTCCAGTGGGCCTTGCCCGTCCGCCTCTTTTTCTGTCTCCGCGCGGCCTTGAGTTGTCCGATCCAGTACCGTGTGAGCGATGCCCTTGCGGCAGGCGTGTCTAGTACCGCGTGAGCGATGCCCTTGCGGCACAAGCATGTGACGCGGTCTGGGGATTAGATGACTGGATACGGCCTGAAATGGTTATTGCAATGGGGGCTTACGAGCAATGATCTGGGTCTACGTCGGCTGGGGCATTCTGAT